AATATTGTATTATTGTATGACCTTTTTCACATATTGGATGATTTGATGACTAAAGAGAGAGAAAGGAAACAAAGGGTGAATGAGGAAAATTACATACGACAAACATCCCCTGTCAGACTTGAATCAGGGACATTGCATTTACACAGCACACATTAGTAGTATACCCAAAGCTTGGATTGGAAATCTGCAGGGTTATTATTTGATGATGATCTCAGGCATGTAATGTATAGGAATTCAATTCATTTTTTTAATAGGAAAATAAACTGAAGGATTTGTGGGGTCAGTGGGGGGTTTGTAGACAGCAGCTTATATTTTATACAGGAAGTGCTAACTATGCCTATCGTCTGTTCTACAATCAATTGCCCCAATTTCTCGCTGTCTCCCCCCCTCTATTATCTCTCCCACCTCAGCCCACCCACCCTTCTCATCCCACCGCCTCCAGCTCTTATCTTCCCTCCCTCTGTTACTCTCCTCTGTTAACCCTTTCATTCACCCTCCTTTAATTCACATTGTTAATGATATTATTTCACATTTTGCGTCATGTCCTCTGTTTCCACATTCAGCACAGTAAAACCATCCTATGATCTACTTTTGTACATTCGTCAGTCTGCTTGCTCACCTTTCAATAGCACTGAGGTTTTATCATTATTCTTTCATGTTACTGAAACTGTTGATGCATCCCGTGGGATAATTTTTAAATTTATTTTTCTATTCGTAGTTCCCCATTACTGATCCTCTTCACTTCTTTCATCCTCCTCACTAATATTTTTATCATGTGCCTAGAGCACATTATCTCACTCTCCCCTCTTGGTGGCTAGTGGTGCTGTACTCCCGGTGAGGGGTATTTATGATTTACACTGCATTAAAGAACCTCTAAATTCTGTATAGATTGTCAAGTGCCTCATGAAATTTGCATGGAAAGCGTAGAGACTTTCTGCCACATTGTACTGGTTTCTCTGTGCAGGTTACAAAGTATGACCCAGTTTGCTAGTTTGGATGCTCGGACAAGACGTTCCTGGTTATTCCATAGGGTTAAATCTAAAGGACGCCTATCAGCTTTGGCCTGCTACGTCTGAAAAAATAAAACAGACTTTCAGAATATCTTTTGAATCTCTTCTCAGCGCTTTTAGAGACAGGATTTTATTAGATGTGATGTTTTCTCTTTTTCTATCCCTTTTCATTTTATACACTGCCTCTTTTTTTATCCCTTGTTTTAAGGGTTTCGTCTTCATCCTTTTCTCTTCATCTGCTTTTGCTTCTCCTCGTTGTTATTACTTGTTGGTGGTGTTGTTATTATCCTTGCCTTGGTTTATGGAGGGGTTGCTCTATTCCACCGCAACATCATTGTAATCAAATAAGTCTAATAATAAATGGATTTGACATGACTTAAATTGATCAATACATATAACAGTAATGCAGTGTCTCTTAGATTATGAGCTGGGACCCAAATTAAATATAGATTATTAACCGGCTGTGTCCCTACAGTAATATGTTTTCTTGAGCCTCAGTCCCAGTGGATGACACTAACAGATATTTTGATTTCAGTACCAGGATGGACAAGTTGACAATCCACTGCAGTAATGTTATTTACAGGAAAGCACTATCTTGTTTCTGGATTTCTGTTTTCATATTACTGTCAAATCAGATTTTATCCAGTGCTGTACTAGATCCACTTTTAGACTGTTTATTCTACTAAGTGAATTAGTCCTTCATAATGTGCAGTCTGATGCTGTAATGGCTGCAGATGTTCCTTAGGAAATGGCCAACGACGCCATGCATATTGCCATCAATGACACTTGTAACCTTATTAAAGAAGGAACCACATGCTACAATGTTTTTTATTAGCCATGCTAGGGGCATGGCTTTTTAGATGGCAATGTCTGTCTGTCAGTTTCTAAATCCATCACTCTGGTCCAGACTGAAGTACATCATTAACAATCACTTGGATCAACATGAAATTTTGTACAGGCATTAACGTTCCCCAGAAGATAAACCATAATGATAAAGGTCATAAATCTTTATCACTCAATTATAGTTTTGGTTTAATAGAAAGTGTTAGCATGCTAAACTAAGATAAACATTACTCCTGCCAAACATCGGCATATTAGCATTGTTATTTTGAGTATGTTAGCATGCAAGCACGCTTTGTTTAAGTTTCAGAGATGATCTTATGGAAAACTGCTCAATGAATGGTATATTTCATAGCAGGGCAGACTTAGTCTAGACAGTTGCTCCTGGTGGAGTTTTTTTTTCTTTGAATTCAAGCTTGCCTCAATTTTTGTTTCATTGCTGCGGCTCAGTACAAGGGTGTCAAGGATGAATACCTTAAATGCATCACTAATGGCTTTACAGTACTACATGTCATGAAAGCCATTTTGGAAATAGCCCATTTCCATGGTCTGATGTGTGCTCTTTCTACAAAACAGCTCTTATATTAGACTCCCTTTAAAGAGGCACAACTCTGCCACCTCAACCACCACCCAATTTGTTTGGGATAAATGTAAGACCTTGAGCCAGAAATTGAACCTGCCATCCATGAATAAACTGCACTAGCTGTGGGCTGTTATTAGACTTAGTGAAGACATTTTCAAATGTAAATGAAACGCTATGCGAGCATGATGGATTAATATGTATTTACACTAGCAAGTACAAGCACATAGTAATGACAATTCACTTGAATAACGCCCTTTTTATAGTCTGTTTTCATGTTGTCTTTTGGGTGGAAATCTTTCTAAGAAAGCTGTAAGTACTAGTGTACTAGGGTGAAGCTGTATCTACAATACACCATACAAGCTTTAATGCACAGTTACAAGTGAAATGTTCCAGGTGTAAAGATGCCTGAACACCACTCAAAGACAGGCCTCCACTCATCTCTCTTTCCAGCAGAGCAGAGTCATGCTGTTTGCTGCAGTGCTTTCTATCTCCTGCATGAGCACGAGATGAGACTCCTAGTATGAATAATGTCTTCCCTTGTGGTTCTCTTTCACTCCCTATAATCCACTCTCTTCTCTGGTCTCAGTAGGGCAAGAGTCCCATCGAGAATGATCAGTAGTCATCAGTCTCTGTCAGTGAATTGTAGGAGTAGAAGGGAAGTAGAATCATGAATGAGAAGTAACACACTTTAACATTTTGCTAATGATATTTCGTCTTAGCAGTGTATTGTGTTTTATGTCATTAAAGCCAATAAAACAACACTGAAAATGAAGGGAAAACATTTGTTAAAAATGTGTGGTCTATGATGATAAGGGGTTTTCACAATGAATAATAAGCTGCCAAGTTACATTTCTTTATTCACAATATTTTTGTTGCTTTGAAAAAATGAAAAAAAAATATTCAAAAGTTTATTTTGTACAGACCTAATGTGTTTCCTTTTTTTTTTCTACTTTGACCCCATTCTCTGAACTCAGTGTGGCAACAAGCGGAAGAGAAAATGGAATAGTAGGACAAAACTACTGTAATTCATCCAAACAGATGAAAAGCTGTGAGAAGGTTTTAGGAACAGTTTGATGCATTTTAAATCGCTGCCAGCTGGACATGTCATCTGCTCACTGGCATGAGACAAAGCGTTCCTCTTCAGTGGATTGAAAGGTCAAGTTGACATCCCAGCTCCCCGCAAAGAGTGACACTTGTACACCAGAGATACTTGCGTGTGTGTGTGTACACAAAAGTGCACTTGAACATATGGTTGTTCTTGTGGCTTACATTGGTCTCTATCTACTTGTGAGATGCTGCTGTGAGAAAGTGGGAGGAAGTTTAATTTACGGTGTCAGTAACTATGTGTGATGGTGATCTGCATTAATCTCAGCTCATCCTCCTGACCTTTCAGTCACAATTGTGGCATGCTAGTCGAGTTCTCCATTTTTTAGAGCACTAGCAGAGAGGCAGAAACAGAGAGAGAGGGAGGGAAAGAGATCAAGAGAAACAATGACAATGCACTATAGAAAAGGGTGATGGTGCTGGTAAAGATGCAGAGGTCAAATGCACCCTTATAGCTCATCTGGTAGAACTGGCACCCCGTGTACCAACGCTTCATTGGTCATGAATCCAACCTGTGGCCCTTTGCTGCATGTCAACCTATCTCTCCCCCCTCTCATGTCTATCCTCAGCTGTCTTATCTAATGAAAGGGGCAAAAGGATTTAAAAATATATATATTTAAAACAAAAAAGATGTAGGGGTCAAAACAAAGAGCTTAAAATAGACCTGGATGTAGTTTCAGTATGTCTTGGTTAAGATTACAGCTCAGGACTCTCACTAAAATAAGTGCTTATAGATATAACAAGGTTTTTAAAGATTTTCTGGACTGCTGTGAGCCTGATGTTTGCCCAACTAAATCAAGGTATTAAAAGACCTGGTTCAGTCCTTGACTGTGGTACTTGGTGTACAGAGCCCCAAAGAGCACAATTGACAGTGTAGCCATTGGTGATTGGATGCATTGCTGTCTACAGCCTCCCCAGGGCAACAGAGATGTACTAGAGACGAAGAGTATATACAGTGTATACCCACTAGAAGGAAAAGGGAAAAAAGGTCTTCTCTTCTCTTCTCTTCTCTTCTCTTCTCAAACTGAGGAACTGTGTTGTTTGTGGCTCTCGGTAGTGCTTTGTTAGAAAACACAGAGCCCTTTTCAAAGTAAGACAATCATAGATGTAAAGCTATACAACAAACATCAATATAACATCACATTGTTCACCCTTGGACTTCCATTAATCCTCCTGTCATCTGTAAAAATCTAAACAATCAATCACAAACCACGGACATGATCACAAGCAAACATATTCTTTTGAAAAAGTGGAAGTTTCCTTGTCTTCTGCTTTGTGGTTCTCAGTCCTCTTGAAGTGACTCTAGATACGGTTAAAAACAACAAAGCATGTAAATTACAGTAATGATCCTCACAATAATGCTATAGACTGAAATGTGCATTCAACTTAATTGTGTAATTACAAAATGACAAAGGAAGACAGTAGCATTAATGGCATTTCTCCTCTTTTTCCTTCTATTTCAGTCAACAAGCACAAACCGTGGATAGAGACATCTTACCATGGTGTGATCACTGAGAACATGGACACGGTGCTCCTGGACCCTCCACTGGTAGCCCTAGACAAGGATGCCCCAGTCCCCTATGCTGGTAGGAAACACACACGCACAAACACACTCACACAGAAAAATTAAACATCTGCTGTACAGTATATGCACACTTAAGTATCCACACACATTTAGAAAGTATAACACACATACAGTATACACATCCTCCCACACACACATTGTTTCTCACACACACATAGTGGCTGAGATGCTTCAGTACTGCGTGCAGGCAACTGTGGTAACTTCACAACAAAAGACAAAAACAGATGATCCAATAGTTCTCTATACTCACTGTTTGTTATGGAGACTGAATTCCATTTATCACCCTTAGCAGTGATAAACAAATGGCTTTCTGTTTGTTGTTTTCAAGAGCACCTTCTTCTCATTAGTGTATAGAATTGTTCAAAACCTCACAGGACAGAGGGCTTACAAATAACTAAACAATATTTTTTGGATATCAATATGTTTGTGTTTACTGTAAATTGAGATACAATAGCAGAGATTTTGAGGTGGATTGAGGAAAGACAGCTGAGTGATCTTACTGAGACTTATGAAAAATGTATTTATTTTTATAATCTTGTTAGGTTTCAGGTTTGCAGTTCAGATACATTTTCTTCACTCGCCCCCTGACAGGGATCTATTCACAGCTTCTGCTAATTAAAGCTATATGTCATCATTTTCTTGCTCCTGAATTGCCCCCATTTAACCTGACCAAAGGATTTTTCTCATGAATAAGAAGAATATAAGATGTTTTCTTGAGCCATGTCAGCTTTTCATGATCTGAATCTGACACTGTGGAGCTAGGTTACAAGCACAGTTTAATGTACAAAATTTGACACCTCAGAAAAAGCAAGACAATATTTTGTCTAGTTCATATTTTACCACCCAGCCTAAATATCATACATTTCTATGATGTAGCACCTCGTTTTTGTTTTGGTCCTGGCCACAGTGCCATTCATTTATCAATGTTCTGACTTCATAAATGAATCTCTAAATCTTTATTACTCTGAAAAAATTTATTATATCTTGTCATACATAGCAAAGGGGACGTCCCCTTTAGCAATATTTAATGGTAGTATTAGATTTATAGATGCTCTGCATTCGCTGAAAGTTTGGTTACTGAGAACTCCCTGCAGCTTTTGGGGAAAAGGTTTTCACAGCCTTGTAGGCCAGTAAAGATTCCTTGAGTTGCCCATGAAAAACAACCCCCAGGACAGCACTTATTCTTTTAAACTTTTTATTGCTTCTCATGTTTGAGGCAAATATGTCACACAGCCCATAATGGTGTCCATTAAACCAGGTGCTGGGAGCATAGTGCTGAAAGTTATCTGGTTGAGTCACAAAACAGCTACACATGTAATAATGACAGTACGATATCATTATCAACCTTATCTCCAGATGATTGTTTCAGGTGCTGATTATGTTGTCTAACGAGCTGAAATCAGACAGCCGTCACGCAGGTGCTCCTGCGCTAACAGTGACAGGAATGAGAGAGACAGAGAGAGCTGTTATAATTGGTCAAAGTATTCTGAGACTCAAAGGCAAACGAAGAGGCTTTTTGGCAGCTAACGCTTAACAGCTCATTATGGTGAAATGGCTCCTATTAATCGCAGCACTGACAACCATGGAAAACTGATACTCAGCTATTTTTTACCCTCTGTTTTCTTTTCCTTTTTGTGTGTTTTTTTTTTAATAGCACAGCCATCATTTTGTGTTTTTCAATGTTACGTGTGAGCTGTTCTGTAAATAATGGGTAAATATAGCTGACCTTGAGGGGGGTGAAACAGCCTGGATCCATGTTAAAGTCTTGTTTGTTCTGCTTCTTAACCGCCCTGTACTGTGCATATACTGGACAGTTTAACCCACATACTGTGGTATATGTAGTACTGTATGTAAAGTTTTAATGAAGGAGGGCATTAGGTTTAGATTTAGTTATCCAAAACATGATGACAGATACTGAATATATATCCGGTATGCAAAAAATTAATTTATGTAAGTGGAGATGCTGAAGATATTCCTCACAGACATTGTTCCTGTCCAATCAATGAATACTGACCTACAGTAATTTACAGTACATAGCTTTCCCTAGAGACCAAATCTGTGACGCAGTAAAGGTTAAATGACACAGCAACGAGCAGCCAGACAAAAGAGGAAATTAATTTAAATTGTTTTTCTCAATGATTAACACTTTTGTTGACTTGAGAAGGTCAAGCCAGGTGAAATATTGCCCGAGAGGAAAAAGTAGAGCCGCGCACTGGCTGCTGACTGGCGATATTTCTCTCCTTGTTTTTCATTGCATGCGGTCTAATGAATGAAACCCATACAATTGCTACCAAGGAGATTCGGAAAAAAATGGCCATCAAAAGAGCAGCTCTGTCCCAATTTATCTTCTTTCGCAATTGTCTGCTGCTACTGCTCTCCGTGTGTTTTGCACAAACTCACACATACCCCCCTCCTCAAATCTTTATCTCAATCTGTCCCTCCGTTTGTGTCTTTCTCTCCACTGAAGTGCCACATTCCTACTCTCTCAATCCAACTGTTCTTTCTCCTCTTCTCTATCTCGATGCTCCTAGCGAGCCCGTATACAGGCAGTCACTTATGCTCTACAGACACTCTCATCAATCCTGGTTTTGTTTTACTGCAGAAAGGAGTAGGCTGTCCTTCTGGCTCCACATTAATTGCAGTGTGGGAACACAGACCAGGATTGTTAAGTACTTGCCTATTTTCTCCTCTCTTGTACTTTTTTCTCATCATCCTTTCGTCCCTCTCCCATCCACTGGCCTTCCATCACTAGTGCTCCCCCTCTGAATGCCTCATAAATCGCTGTCATCTTCTCGTCTATCCCCACCTCACCTTTTTTATCTCGATATTCTTTGTCTCTTTTCCTTGCTGTCACTCGTTCTGTCCTGCCCTCTCCTGCGGTACCACATTTCACTTTGATGCAAACTACCCACAGTGGGCCTAACTGGAACATTATACACCGAGACAGGCATCCTGGAGATATATTGTTATTACTGCATTCCATGATGGCATCCTCTATCCTCTGCTCTCCCCCCTCAGTTCCTCCCTTGGAGCAAAGGTGTGTGGGTCGAGGAGTATGTGCTGATCGGGCGTTCTCAATCAAATTAGCATGAGAAATGGTGGCAGTGGACTCGAGGGTGCTGCGAGGCAGGCAGGCAGTTTCATTTGCTTATTCTTTATCTCAAGGCCACAGTCAACAGGCCCGGATTCTCCCCATTCATCATGGTACCAGAATAATGTGCTGTGGTACATTGTTTCCTATGCAGAACTCACACAGGGTAGAGGAACAAAAGTTGTTGGAGAATTGGAGGGAAAGGAAGAATGGATAGCTGGGAGGAAAAAATGGAGGAGACAGATGGACAATGAAAATGAGAGAGGGTCATCGCAAGCAGCTACCCAAAAAAAAACATTATTCTTATTGGTTTGGTTTAGGTTCTGCATGTGTGTGTTCACACTTATGTTCACATGAATGTGTATGTGGAAACTACATTTCTCATCATTCTTTAGCTTTTATTATAGTATGTTAATTTACAGTTACATCGTCTGTAATGTTATTAAACTTTGAGTGTTTTGTTGATACTGTAATGTATCTGTCCGATTTCTAGCTCATTATTATGATTATCATCCATCATTTGAACACCTAATAATTAATAAATTCTCTATGTGCAGTCATTTTATTGTCTATAAAGTGGGGTAAATTTTAGGCAATTCTTTCAACTGCTTTGCTGCCTTCCTGTTTGCGTTGAAAAACAGATCTCAGTCATCAATCTTTACCAGATGTAAAAGGAGGCATCATTAGGATGCGTTTATTATGATTAAAATCTCATTCAGACCAACTCTGCTCCTGGATGAAAAAACTCACAACACAACATCTGGCAAGGAGCTGTGTCGCCCAATCGAATACATGCAAGCCCACATTCCTGTTGGATTAGTTTCTGAAAGATGTATTTCTTAACTCGCGATTATTACAACAAATTATAAAATGATTGCTACTGTTATAACTTGTAAAATTACAAACTGCTGTGCAATGTTTTGGCATCAGATACGGCTTCAAATTCACAGATAGGTTACTCAAACTGGACTTCCTGGATTGTGTCGGTTACGGTTAGGGTTCTGAGTTTAGTTGGATAATATAACATTAGATATTATTGTCAGTCAGCATTAGTCTGTTGTGGTAAAGATTCCACTATGGAAAGTATCTTCCATTTACAGAGTTTTTTCGTTGAGAAAATAAAACAAAGTTAAAAATATTAACATTTTTGTTAGTGTCAATCATCCTATTTTTACCAAATACACTGTCAAAATGTATTTATTGCTTGTAGTATGATATGGAAAACATAGGAATTATTATCATAATTTCAAAGTCAGTGGTGAGCAGGATTTTTGTAATAAAAATTATGCTGTTTGCATTATGTGGGCATGGATTATTTACAGTACCTGACTTGTTAATGAGTCACAATGATGGATGGTTGAATAATTGTGAGTGAAAAGTTTTAATATTCCTGCAGTTCTGTCTGGAAAAATCACATCACTTTTTGTCAGTTGTTTTGCAATGAGGACACAAACAGAAGGTGGTCCAGAGTTCTGCATTGCTTTCTCAGCCTATTGCTCTTCGGCTTACAGCTGTATTGTCTTTTTTCTTTGTACAGAAACAATTCTAACTGCTTTTTATGTTCTGTATGAGTTTATCACCCAAAATATTTCTCATCTGCTAAGAATCTAAAAAGAGAGACAGGACATTAAGAGGAGAGTAGAAAATATGAGTAAATAAAGAAGAGAAACTGATTGCATTAAAGTGGAATTCTACCACAGATTATGGCTATAGTTTTGGCTGCGTTGTTGATAAGTATCCTCACACACAATAACAATAGTCAGTTTCACTTTGCCAAATCCCAATCTACCTACTGTGACTACCTGAAAGTGAAACTGCACCAATGTGACAAAAGCGGAGGCGCTAATTAAACTGTAGGACCCAACAAAGCAGGAGCTATGACACACTTCAAAGTTGGTGAGGCAAAAGAG